CCCTTTGCTGCAACCACCTTCAGTTGGTGGAGTCTATTTCTCCATCTCCTTGAATCTGGGCTGGCCATGGGACTGGCTTTGACCTACAGAATGCAGAAGAACAGATGTTACTGAGATCCAGGGCCTAGGCCTTGAGAGACGTGCAGCTTCCTCCTTGCCATTGTGAAGCACTGTCCCAAAGTCCATGTAATAAGGCCATTCTAGCTGGCTACTGCAGGATGAGAGGCCACAGGGAAGGGAACTAAGTCCCCTCGGCCAACAGCCAGCACTACCTGCTGGAAGAGCAGGTGGGCGCACGTCTCCCAGCTCCAGCTGCGCCACAGGAGGTGCCCTCTTCCATGGACAGGAGACACGAGGCAGTACGCAATTTTTACAATACTGCATATGCCAACGAGTAGAACTAAGGTTTCACTCAAACAACGTGTTTTCCAGAAGCCATGCACAAAACCACTAGGATGTGCCGCTTCCATGTAGGAGACCATTTCTAGGCACTTTAGAATTTGGTACCTTCTGAATTTATTTACAACTACATAAAGCATATTTCCTTAAAGATATAATGTCGTAAAACCTATAAATGTAATTCAAGAAGGGGCTGAAGAAGCATATTAAGGCCAAAGAAATATTTTTCTTTAATTTGTAATTGTAAATGAAAATGTACTTTAAAGAAAGCTTTTAGTTACATTTACATTGTCAGACTACTATACTCAAGTGTTATTCTGGAGAACATGTTCATATCTTAAAGGTGCCTGTCAATGCATTTTCCTGAATCTAAAGATATGTCTATACTGTAGGTCGGTCAAGCAATATTATACCAAGCATTTAGAAAGCATATATTCTTCCAAGAATAAACTAAAGTGTCCTACCAATGACTAGGCTTAGACAGCAAAAGATGTGATTCAGCTGGGGGAGTATGAAAACCAAAAAAGTTAAAATAGCTTTAGAAACGACACGAAGTTTTAACCCTTGTTGCTATGGATTGAGATTTCATAGCAAGAAACAATCTGGAACAGTTCACAAAAGATTCAGATCACGCTTTATTTAAGCTCGCGAAAGAAGTAGTGTTAAGACTTAGCATTGACACTTAAAACTACAAACCTATACTTTATTTAAATAATGCTAAATATGTGTCTTTTCATTCTACTTTGTACTTCAGTTTCCCATATTAAATGGGTTATGAATATTAAGAAATATACATAAAGTATTTGTAAGTTAAAAGAGTGTCTGGCATATAACAATTGCTTAATAAATATTTATTTTTATTTGACATTCTCATTAGAGATTAATATTGGTTTTTGTTTTTTCTGTATTGATTTTAGAGAGAGGAAGGGAGAAAGAGACAGAAACATCGATTGGCCACCTTCTCCGTGTCCCCACTGGGGATTTGGCCCACAACCTGGGCACGTGCCCTGACCAGGAACTGAACTGGTGACCTCTTCGTGCATAACCACTAAGCCACACTGGCTGACCCTAAAGATTAATATTGTAAAAAGAACAAAATCAAGTGAAAATGTATACCAATTTGTTTTTTATTAGTTTTGAACAGCAAAGGGATCATAACCTCTGCCAATAATAATTCTAAGTAATTATTTCAATCCTATGCCTCTACTTCTCTCATAGCTCTGGCAGAACAAGTAAAGTGACAGTTGCCTGCAGAAATGCAGGGGATAAAAAGGGTACACAATAAACTCATGGATCTGCCTAAGGAGATTTCTCGGCAGAATGTTCAAAATCGGCTTCATTTACTTGCCTATGATAGTGTGGATGGAGTAGGATAAGCTTAATAAGGGCCTGTAATGTTTTCAAACAGAATTTAGAGGAAGTAAGTGCCAAGACTTGTTGGGTTAAAAAATATGACAATTTCTTGTTTCCAGCCACTCTAGACAACAAAAGGTCTACACACTGAGAAATGACACCTATTCAAAGATTAAATCCAGGGACCTGTCAGTAAAACTGGAGCCTTGATCTCAATGGTGGAACCATAAGACCTTTGTTAAGACCTTAGAAAGGTTTGAGACATATTCATAGATCTTGCATGTAGTCAAGAGGGCTTCTAAGAAGCTTAAAGGTATGCCTCAATGATATTCTTGTCTAAACCAAAAGTGCTTCTGAAGGGTATTAAGTATCTGAAGGGTATTATTGCACAGTAGCCTCATACGAAGACCAAAATTGAGAAGAGATTGGTAGATACGACTTTTGCACAATGGAGTTCATTTTGATGTGATACAAAAGAAGTCCACAAAGTTTTAAAGACTTGAACTTAGAGTAAGACAGAAGTAGTTCAAAATGGAAAGCCCTCTGGGCCTTCACCTTCCACAGGCAGGGAGCACAGTGAGAAAACGAACACCTATTCAAAAGAGTTTGTTTTAATGAAAAGAAAAGGCAACTCAGAGAAAGCAGAGAAGAGACCAAAGGGCAGAGACGAGTTACAAAAGCCACTTCCAGAGGAACAAGCCCACATCAATGAACCTGCAACATGTTCCTAACTGTGTATTTAGAACTAGTATTTTCCTCCCATTTCCGCGCCTGAGCAGGGTCTATGCGATTACCCCTGCTCATTGTTGAGTGGTGGGTATGGGTAAAGCAAATGACTGACATTAGTTCACAAGTCTTTCAATCCAGAGGAGCCGTACTTGAGAAGCTGTACCCAAAGAACCACACCGGAGAAGCCACACAAAACAGTCTCCGTTCAGGTCCTGGACATGATGTAAGATGATGAAATTCAAGACTTTAAGCCTGAGCCTAATGAGGTAATGGGCTGGGACATTAGAGGTCTTTGGGAGAAGTGGTTAGTACTTCCCTCTGAACCACAGATCTAAAATACTGTTTTCCATCCGCAGTTATTTAAATCCAGAGATTCAACACAGCTCAAATTCATGTTGTTCAAGGGTCAACGGTCTTTTCAATCCTCTGTTCAAAATCCACATATGCACAGGGCCAACTTAAGTTAAACATGGATTTTCAACTGTGTGGGCATCCTTTTTCTTGAAGGGTGGTACATGTTAGTAGCTGAGTAGTTCTGTCAGTCCATTTCCTGCTACAAAATTTGGGGGTTCCAACAACTTCCATTCATTTGGTCCAGTCTCAGTCCCTTTCTGTTGTTATGACATGTTGTTAGACCTTGTTGGTCTCCCCTGTATGTTAAGATGACCCATGTCATTAAACAGGTGAGTTCTCCTCAGGTCTTTCCTGGATAACCCCATCTGTCTTCCTGGATTGTGCTGAGATGACTGACTGGATCCCTGAGTCACGTGCCTAACCTGTCCAGCACATCTGTCCAGCCACAACCTTGAATTCTCTCCAGAGAATCTTTTTGCAACAGGATGAGAATTTTCCAAATTATCAAGTTCTGGTTCCTTTTTGCTCAACAATTCTTTCCTCAATCTATCAATTTCTTCTCATACTTTACTATAAACAAGGAGAAATCAGAGTGCAAATTTCATACTATGCTTGATAATTTCCTCAGATAGCTATCCAAGCGTTCAATGCTTATAAGTTCTGTTTTCCACTTAACAGCGGAATATTATTCAGTCAAGTTTCTGCCACTTTATACCAAGGACCACCTTTCTTCCCATTTCTAATAACATTTCTGTCAGAAATCTTACCAGAAGCACTTTTAACATTCGTATTTCTAGTAACATCCTGTCATGACAACATATGTATTCTCTAAGACAGCATCTCTGTCTTCTATCCTCCTCACTTCCTTCGTTATATATATTTAGTGATTTGAGAGAGAGAGAGAGAGAGAGAGATTTGTTGTTCCAATTAGTTATGCATTCATTGGTTGATTCTTGTACATGCCCTGACAGAAGACTTAAACCCACAACATTCTTCCAAAATTGTAGGTTATTTGTTAAAGCAGCATTCTACTTCCCGGTACCAAACTCTGTATTAGTTTCCTAGGGTTGCCATAACAAATTGTCACAAGTTGGCTTAAAACCATAGAAACTTACTTCCTCGCAGTTCTGGAAGCAGAAGTCCAAAAATAAGGTGTTGGCAGGACCACGCTCCCTTTGAAGTATCCAGGGTGGACCTGTTCCTTCCTATCTCAGCTTCTGGTGGCCCCTGGCACTCCCTGCCTTGTGGTAGTGTGACTCCAATCCCTATCTCCATCCTCACATACCTTCTTTTCTGTCTCTATGCCTCAATCTCTCTCCTCTCTCTTATAAGGACACCAGTCACAAGATTCAGGGCCCATCCTAAATCCAAAATGTTATTATTTCAAGATCACTAGCTTAATTAGATCTACAAAGACTGTATTTCCAAATATGGTCGCTGTGTTAGTTTGCTGGGTCTGCCATAACAAAGTGCTATAACTGAATGGTTTGAACAACAGGAATGTACTGTTTCATAGCTCCGGGGGCTAGAAGTCAGATGAAGGCGTCAGCAGGATTGGTTTTTTGAGGACTGTGAAGAATTTGTTCCATGCCACTCCGCTAGCCTCTGGTTTTGCTGCTAATCTTTGGTGCTCCTTGGTTTGTAGAAGAATAACTCCAATCTGTCTTCGACTTCAGATGGCATTTACCCTGTATGCATGCATCTGTGTCCAAATTTTCCTTTTTCTAAGAACACCAGTCATATTGAATTAGGGCCCACCGTAATCAACTCATCTTAACTAATGATGTCTGCTACAAGCCTATTTTCCAATCAGCTCACATTCTGAGTTACTAGGGGTTAGGATTTCAACATATGAATTCTTGGGGACACAATTCAACCCATAACAGTATTTCCACTTTCTGTTGTTTAAACCGTTCAGTTATGGTACTTTGTTATGACAGACCCAGAAAACTAATATTTGGAAATATGGTCTTTGTAGATGTAATTAAGTTAATGGCTTGCATGGTTTCTTTTTTTTAAATTTATTTAAATTTTATTTCTCAGTTACAGTTTACATTCAATATTATTTTGTATTAGTTTCATATGTACAACAATAGTGGTAGACAATCATGAACTTTACCAAGTTTCCCGCCGAATATTCCCAGTACTCAGGTAGAACCATACATAAAAATATATAACGCTTTACAAATTTGCATGCTGTCCTTGTGCAGGGGTAGTGCTTATCTTGTCTGTTTCATTACAATTTCAGTGTGGGTGCTGCCAAAGCGAGCATGCTGTCATGGTTTCTTCTTCTTTTTTTTTTTTTTATCCTCACCCTCGAGGGCATTTTTTTTGTTTTTTGTTCAGATAGAATGGGAGGGAAAGAGAGGGAGAGAGAAGGAGAGAGAGAGAGAGAGAGAGAGAGAGAGAGAGAGAGAGAGAGAGAGAGACATCGACGTGAAGGGGCACATCGAGTGGTTGCCACCCGCACGACCCAACCAGGGCCGGGGACAAACTACAACCCAGGTATGTGCCCTTAGCGGGAACCGAACCCGGGTCTCTCTGCACCACAGGCCAACGCTCTAACCGCTGAGCCAAACCGGCCAGGGCCTGTCATGGTTTCTGAAGAGAAGTCAGCTATAATTCTTACCCTTGTTCTACAGGAGAGACGGTTTTCAAAATTTTCTCGGTCTTTGGCCTTCTACAATTTGAACATGTTATGCCTAGGTGTTTATTTTTTGGTATTTATCCTGCTGGAGTTTCCCAAGTATGAGGTTTGGTTCTTGTTATTAACTTCAGACAATTCTCAGGTACTATTACTTCAAATAGTTTTTCTGCTCCATTCTCTTACTCCTCCTGGTATTTCAATTACACATTTGATACACCATTTGAAATTGGCCCCAAATTTTTGGATGTGCTATTCTGTTTGTTTGTTTTTTTCCATTCCTTTTTCTCTTTACATTGCAGTTTGTAACATTTCTCTTATCCTATCTAAGCTTGCTAATTCTTTCCTCGGCCACGTCCAGTGTACTGATGAGCCCATGAAAAGCATGCTTTTTGTAGGTTAGTGTTTTCAATTTCCAGCATTTACTTTTGATTCTACTTAAGTTTCCATCTTTCTTCTCACATTGCCATTTATTCTTGCATGTTTTGTACTTTATCCATTAAAGACTTCAGCATATTAGTCATCATTATTTAAGAGAATTCCAACATCCCTGTCATATATCTGAGCCTGGTCCTGATGATTTCTTCCTCTCTTCAGAGTGTGTTTTTCCTAGCACGCCTTGTAATTTTTTGTTGAAAGCTGGACACTATATATTAAGTAACAGGACTGAGCTAAACAGGCCCTGGGATGTTATGTTAACCTGGCTAACAGTTGGACTAGTCTTAACGTCTGCTACAGTTGTACGTGCAGAGGCCTGGAATTCCTCTAGCGTCCTTGTTTTGGTCTCTCCCGTGGACTTCTGACTTCAAGGACCCCTCCTCGAAGATCTGTGCCTTAGAGCTGGAACCCAGTTTTCCTGGAGTCTGGTGTGGGGGCAGAGTGTGCGGGGCAGGAAGCTTATCTCCCACAGCAGCTTAATCTAGCATAATCTTATGATCAAACTCGGTCTCTGAGTAAGTCTGTGTCCCTGGGCTGTGTCCCACAGGTGTTGGTAACTTCCCACTGCCATTCCAGCTCAGCTGACACGGAAAGGCCACTGGGCAGGAGTGGGAGAAATGCTCTTCTCCTGGAACAAGGTCAGATCTTCCCCCTGAAGAGTAAGCCTTGATGTAGGCAACACTCTGCACTTATTTCATAAACGTCACCCCCTCCCTTCCTGCCCGAGCCCCCGGGATCATTCCGGCTCTTCACTGCGAGAGCTCCGTGGGCTGCCTAGAGGTAAAGTCTGTGAAAGTGCGGGGACTTGCCAAGAGTGTGGTCCCCAGGAGTTTTTCACTCTCAAGCTAGTCCACACTCAGCATTTTGCAATTCACCAAATTTACCGTTTAAGTGTCCTACCAGTGACTTCAGGACTGCCGTGGCTTCCGCTCCGGGCGAGTGGATCTTGGCTATGACTGGAGTCGCTCCTCTCCATACTTCAGAGTGGCGGTTTGCCCTGCGACCGCAATTCCCTTGTGGGTCCCTAAACAGCCCTGCTAATGTCTTTAATAGTATGATGATTTTCTTTTTTTTGGTAATTTATACAAAGTTGTTGCAATGACAGTGATGATCAGGCAACTACCTACTACATGCTGCCCGGCGGCGAAGACTCCCCCCTTTCCTCGCCCTGACAGTGGCTTTTCCCCACCAGTACTCCAGTAGTTAATTAAGTGCTATAGAAAATGATCTTATCATTATTTTTTTCAGTTCTCCAAGAATGCTACATTGCTAGTACCATTCTAGACATACAGAGGTTAGTTTATTACATAAAATGAATGACTTAGCCACGTTACCCCTTAATATTTCAATGTGTATTTGTTAGAAGAAAGATATTTTCTTACATAAATGCAAAAGTTATCACATTGAGGAAATTCAACATTGATACAATATTTTTTTTAAATGTTTTTTCTTTATTGAATTTAGACATAGAGGAAGGGACAGGGAGAGAAAGGTAGAAATTTCAATGAGAAAGAACATAGGTTGGCTGCCTCCTTATTGAGCCCACAACCTGGTCATGTGCCCTAACTGGGAATCGAACTGGCAACCTCTTGGTGCACGGGTCGATGCTCAACCACTGAGCCACACAGGCTGGGCTATCATATAACTTTTTAGTCTCTGTTTTAATCTCTAACAGTTCCTCAGCCTTTCTTGGCTTTCATGACATTGACATTTTTTAAAGAATACAGGCAGCCCGGCCAGGGTGGCTCACTGGATTGAGTGTCGTCCCATGGACTGAGAGGTCCCAGTTCGATGCCCAGTCAGAGCACATGCCAGGGTTTCGGGCTCGATCCCCAGTGGGGGTGTGCAGGAGGCAGCCAATAGATATTTTCTCCTTAACATCGATGTTTCTCTCTCTCCCTTCCTCTTAAAAAAAAAAAAAAAAGTCAATAAAAAAAGTATTTTTTAAAAAAAGAATACAAGCCAGTTGTTATTTTTTAACAGCATATTTCTGATTTTGGCTTTGTCTGATGTTTTCTCACGATAAATTCAAATTATGTATCCCTGGCCAGAATACTGCACAGCGATATTGTATCCTCAGTTTTGATCACTCAAGCAAGGTTATTATATGGATCTCTACCGTACAGTTAAAACCATGCAAATATCCTGATCATCCAAACTCTCAGTCTTGACCCCAGATTTTTTACCCATTTCTGATGCTTGCCCAATCAATTCTCTGATTTCACTGCTCGCTCCACACTTATCAACCAGCATTCTACTGCATGGTAGTCCACCCACTCCCCTCTCTCTCTCTCATGCTCTTTCTTTATTACGGACTAATGGCTTCCTATTTGTTCAACAGTTCACTACTGTCCTCAGTTATATGCGTGTTCAAACAGTCCCAGATTTGACCAGTGAAGGCCTCTTCAATCAGCTCCTGGCTTCTTTTGATATATTTCCATAATTTTTTTAACAGCTCCTCTTTTCTGGTAACATTAAGATGTTCCAGTCTCATCTAGTATCTTCTTTTTCCAGCCCCGTAAATCAGTCATTTCTCCAAAGATCCCCGGTTCCTTTCAGTAGGGGCTGGTACTAGTGCCAGGTGTACTCACAAAAATGAGTGCCGGTGCACTCACTGCTATTAGAGTAGTTTGAGTCTGAACCTGCCATATCCAATTTGGTAGCCATTATGCATCTGTGGCTATTTAAATAAAAATTAATAAAAGTAAATTACAAATTTAGGTCTTCAGTTGCACTAGCCACATTTCACGTGCTTAATAAGTATATGTTAATAGCTACCCTATAAGACAGCTCAGATATTTATAGAACATTTCCAGCATTACAGAAAGTTCTATTGGACATTACTGGTCTAGACCCTTTCACAAGGCAAACTTAGGCAACACACACACACACACACACACACACACACACACACATTCATAAGTTCTCACTCTCCATTACCTTTTAAATATCTTCCTATGTTCCACTACATTAATTCTTTCTCATATTAAACCACTATTTGCTGACCATACACTATTGGATAGTTACTATTCAAGGCCCTGTAGATTGAGAAATGTGGGACCCTGTTCTCTAAAAAATTGAATGTGATGAGAAGAGAGAAAAATTGATTATTATTATAAAATAATGTATTACTGTAATAGAGGGTGTTACATCAATATATGCCCCATAGTGGGGGTGTCAAGGAAGGCTTTCTGGGAGAAATTACATGTATGAAATTTAGAAAGGTAAATAAAAATTAGCCTGACAACTTAAGGGTAATTTTGGGGTGGGGGCATTTGCTATTCTCCATCAGTTTCTTCATCTCTGTTTCAATTATTCATTTAAAATGCTTTCTTTATCTCCCTCATACCTTTTCAAAAATTCTGTTTATCTTTCAAAGTCACTCTTTTATGATATACTTTTTAGTACCTTTAACCAGACAAAGCCTAACCCCAAAATATACTATCTTTACTGATTTCAAGCACACAAAATATTTGGTTTATTTTTGTTGTTATCAATGTAATGGGTAAGAATCAGATTTATTGTTTACTAGCTGTGTGACCTTAGGCAAGCTACTTAATCTCCCTACACCTCACTTTCTGCATGTAAAGGTGGGATTAATAGTAGCTCATAGTTATATGTTTGAGGATTAAATAAGACAGTGTTTTGAACATGCTTAGCACTGTCACTGGAATATGATAAATTATATGGTCTACTAGTAACAATAATATCACATTTGTTCCTTCCTTTATTTGCTAAAAGTTTTAAATTTGTTCACATCTTTCTTTGCCAATCTTTACATTATCAAGATACACACACACACACATACATGTGTATATATATATATATATGTATTTTAATAACAGCTAGTAAAAACCATTAAATATTACTTCATATATAAAATCATTAAATAAAAATATTTTCCATTTGTAAATTCTAAAATAAAACTTAAATATTTTCAATTTGGTGTAGCATACAAATAATATCTGAATTACTAAATGATAAAAATCAATGACAAAAAAATAATAATAAAAACTAATTTGTCAGAATCCACATTCCTATTTATAATCAGATCATACAAAGCCATACCTGTAATGGGTTACTAATAAAATAAAGCATCTTGATTTTTATACAAATGTAGTCATTATAGAAACAATATTAAGTAAAAGCATGAAGGAGAATTTCTTTCCTTTGACATACTCTTTAAAAATATGATAGAAAAAAATATATAATAGGAAAAAAAGCATCTCATACAAGAACTAGAAAAACTTATTTTGCCTTTCATTGTAGTTTATTTAGATATGCATCAGAAGATATATATCTAAGGTTTGGCTAACAAATGAAAAATATACTCTTCAAAATGAATGCTTTTAATAAAGTATATTTTATTTGTAAAAAGTATAATCACAGACATGTAAAATTGCATTGTTTACAGTCTAGAAAAATAAAATGGAACACTCACCAGGATTAATAAATACCAAAAATGGAGAGTCATTTCCTCCAAAATAACTGATAGCTGTGAAGATTTTATTTTTCTTTTCTAAGCAAAGACAAATATGTAGTACACTTGTGTTTTCCTTATTAACCTTACCAGTAAAACTTGAAAAATCACCTTGATATGTAATTTTCCTTCAAATTAGTTTAAGAATAATAGTGGATTTAAAAAATAGAGATGTGCCCTGGCCGGTTTGGCTCAGCAGTCAGAGCGTCGGCCCGCGGTCCAGAGAGACCCGGGTTCGGTTCCCACTAAGGGCACGTACCTCGGTTGCAGTTTGTCCCCGGCCCTGGTTGGGTCGTGCGGGTGGCCGCCACTCGATGTGTCCCTTTCACATCGATGTTGCTCTCTCTCTCCCCCTCCCACTCTATCTGAACAAAAAATGGAAAAATGTCCTTGGGTGAGGATAAAAAAAAAAAGGAGATGTGACAAATTTCAGAATACATGCTATGTTTAAAAAATCATTAAATCCCACTAATATACGGCAATGTCTATTATGTCCCTTATAAACGATATATTTAGAACTTTCTAGATGGGCCTATGTGAGCGAGGGTGCACAGCCCACCCCGCCGTGCACACGAGCCCGCGGGGCACACTCACCGGCCGAGTCCAGCAGCAGGGGGGGCCCAGGCGGTACAGCTTCCGTCTGTGGACACTCTGAAGTGGCCTCGTGCGAGCTGCGGTGCTGGGGACCGCCAGGCCCGGGGACTTCAGCCTGGCCCTGTCTTTCCTCCTCTTCTTACTGTGCCTCTGGCTAGGTGCCCAGCTGCCCGCGGGGGCCAGCTCGCCCACGTTCTCCGAAGCGCTGAAACGCCATGAAATAGACGGGGAGTGGAGGGTTAAACCAAAACAAACAAAAAGACAAAGAAAACTAAATGTAAATTGCCTTAATCTACTATGACAGGAGAGTATCAATTTTATCCAACTTTGTGGCAACAACTGGGGAAAGAAGCTATGTGAATGGGGAGTTACATATTCAAGTTGCGCAAGTAATCTCTGCTTCTATTTTCTCCTGCAAAACAAATGCCCCATAAGTTAGAAATGCTCACATAGGTTCACTGGTACAATACAGATGTTTACTGTAACTCAGTAATCCACGCATATTATTTAGTGTTGTAACTATATGAATCAAAAAATATTTCGCGTATGGGTGAAATTACATAGGATTATAGGTTTAAAGAGGGCTCATCTCATCACTACATCATTCGTTGCTCTTAAGCACCGCATATTATTTCAGTGAATTTTGAAACAAAGATAAAATCCTATTAGATTTAGGATGTTTTTAAAACTTCTGATGATACAGAAGTCACAACTATAAAATAACTAAACAGAACAAAACTACATATAAAAAAGCATATTGATTTTATAATTATTATTCATGTGAATTTTTAAACATTGTATTTAAAATATTTTAAAACATCAGAACATCAGGAAGAAGTTAATGCTCATTGCCACATAAATTTAACTTCCTTTATACCAGTACATTACATATAAAATAATTAAGCTTTCAGGCACTACAACATAACAATTGCAACCTTACTTATACAGACAGAAGCCAGTCAATTTAGTATTCTAAAATCAACAAGTGAATCTGCTACGTGTGATATATAAGTTCTAATCAACATATAAGTTCTAAATGTGCTATTTAGTTCAAGTAGAATCAATACTTAATGGTAAATGTAAGATATGGTTTGTCTATAGAACAATCACTGGTTTTAAATCAAATTTATGGTTGCTATAAAATATTCTATTAGTTTGTGGATAAAACAATAATTCAAGAATGTTTTACACAGAAATATGAAATAAAAAATAAAGGTACCTGAATGGCTTATGTTGGTAAACCAAAGAGAATAATTAAATATGAATTTGGCAACTATCATACACTCAACATAATTGAGTATGCACTATTGTCCAGGTCAGTATAGGGAAAAGAGCTTATGATAATATTTCATTTCAAAAATATTGAGTTTAGTCTGCAGAGAGCTCTAGTCAAGAATGTTTTAAGTGCCAGTTAACAATCATTCTAAAGATCTGTCTGAGAAAGGCTTAAGAAATAATGCTACTCTCAAATTAACAGGTCTAATTTATGCTGATGTCACTTGCTGTGACCTATCATATGTATTACATGGAAATTTTTTTTTTAATCTTCACCCGAGGACATTTTTCCATTTTTTGTTCAGATAGAGTGGGAGGGAGACAGAGGAAGAGAGAGAGCGAGAGAGAGAAACATCGATGTGAAAGGGACACATGAGTGGCTGCCTCCCACACGACCCAACCAGGGCCGGGGACAAACTGCAACCGAGGTACGAGCCCCTAGCGGGAACCGAACCCGGGTCTCCCTGGACTGCAGGCCGAGGCTCCAACTGCTGAACCAAACCAGCCAGGGCAATTATATGGAAAATTTTAAGTGCACCACTGCTAAGTAACAGTTTGCTCTTAAGAAACCATCCATGGAGCTGGACCATGGGTAACAAAAAGGCATAGATGATAGCCAATATCAAGTTAGGAACTGAGCAGGGCCGGTGGCTGGCACAGAAGGCTTAGTCCTAAAGGTGAGCCACCATCTCCTTTTTTCTTAAGAGTTATTTTATTTTATTATAATTTTTCTTTATTGATTTGAGAGAGAGAGAGAAACATCAATGAGAGAGAACATCGATTGGCCACCTCCTGCATACCCCCCACTGGGGATTTGGCCCACAACCTGGGCATGTGCCCTGACCAGGAATCAAACCAGTGACCTCTTGGTGCATGGGTTGATGCTCAACCACTGAGCCACAATGGCCAGGCACCATCTCCTTTTTGAATGACAGCACACAGCTTTTGAATTGGTGAGAGGCTCACAGGCTAGTTTAAAGAAAAGCTTGTCATTTGTGTCACTAAATGTTATATTTTCCAGTTTCTAAGGTAGTTGACATTATCACAAAAACAAAGTTTAGTTGTATTCTTTTTCTTTATTTAACTATGTTCCCAGCTGCGGACAATTCATCCTCAGATGACTGTAACATTTTCTAACTACTAAGGATTCTTAAAAAGTGTCATCAGAAGTTATCCTTCTCAACCTACACAATAAAAACTACAAACATGATTAAAATAAATCGAAGAAGACACAAATAAAATGGAAAGATATTCTGTCTCCACAGATTAAAAGAATCAACATAGTTAAAATGGGCATATTACCCAAAGCAATATACAGATTTAATGCAATAAAGACTATGAATGGCCAAAGTAATTCTAAGAACAAAGCTGGAGGTATCACACTCCCTGACTTCAAATTATACTGCAATTGACAATAATCTAAACAGCATGGTATTGCAGAAAAACAGATACATAGAACAATGGAAAAGAATCAAGAGCCCAGGAATAAACTAATTTGTATGGGCAAATAATTTTTGACACAGGAACTAAAAACATAATATAGAGAAAAGAAAGCCTCTTCAATTAATGGTGCTAGAAAAATGAAAAAGAGTAACACTAGACGGCTATTTGTCACCATATGCAAACAGTAACTCAAATGGACCAAAACCTAAATATAAGAATTGAAACAATAAACTACATAGAAGAAAACGTAGGTACTAAACTTATGGACCTTGGTCTTACAGAAGATGTTATGAATTTGACCTCAAAGGCAAGGGAAGAAGAAGCAAAAATAAATGAATTAGACTATAGCTAACTAAAAATTTTCTGTACAGCAAAAGAAACCATAAACAAAATAAAAAGGCAACCAACTGAATAGGAGAAAATATTTGCAAATAATACCTCTAATAAATGGTTAATATCCTAAATATATGAAGAACTCATACAACTAACACCAGAAAACCCAAAATAATCCAATTAATGGACAGAGGACCTAAAACGACACTTCTCCCAAGAAGACATACTAATGGCCAACAGATACATGAAAACATACTCAATTTCACTAGCTGTCAGGGAAATGCAAATCAAAACCACAATGAGGTACCACATCACACCTGTTAGAATGAATGGCTGTTATCAACAAGACAAGAAATAAGAAGCGTTGAAGAGGTGGTGGGAATGTAAACTGGTACAGTCACTGTGGAAAACAGTATAAAAGTACCTCAAAAAAATAAGAATACAGCTACCATGTGACCCAGCAATCCTTCTTCTGAGTACCTACCCGAAACTTTGAAAACATTTATCCATAAAGATATATGTATCTCTATCTTTTTTTTTTCTTTTATTGTGGTACGTGCCCCTAGTGGGAACCAAACCCGGGACTCTCTGGTCCACAGGCCAAAGCCTAACAACTGAGCCAAACTGGCCAGGGCTATGTATCCCTATCTTTATTGCAGCATTATTCATGGTAGCCAAGACATGGAAATAACTGAAGTATCCTTCAATAGAGGATTAGCTAAAGAAGATATGGGTCATATATACAATGGAATACTACTTAGCCATATGAAAAGATGAAATACTGTCATTTGCAACAACATGGATGGATATGGAAAATATCATACTGAGAAAAACAAATCAGATGGAAAAGTCAGGACTGAGAGCTTTTTTTTTTAATCCTCACCCAAGGATATTTTTCCAGTTTTTGTTCAGATAGAGTGGAAGGGAGAGAGAGAGAGAAACATCGACATAGAAGGGACACACCAAGTGACTGCCACCCGCACGACCAACCAGGGCCAGGGACAAACTGCAACCAAGGTACGTGCCCTTAGCGGGAATCGAACCTGGGTCTCTGGACCGCAGGCCGACGCTCTAACCGCTGAGCCAAACTGGCCAGGGCAGGACTGAGAGCTTTATCAAAAAAAATGATCACAAAGTTCTGAGTTTATATTTCATTAACCATGTTTAATTTATCTAAATTATTTAATGACTTTCTGAAATCACTAGTTTTCTACTGCAATCCTAGAACATCTTAGCAGTTAAGATATTTATGGATGATAACAATAGGCATTCAGTTTGCTTTTACAAAGTACAAATAAAAAACTTCAATTTTTTAAAATACACTGATTACTGTAGGAACCAAAGGCCCAGAAGTGAGTCAGTTAATCTTTTGCCTGATATATTACTATAAATCACTACCAAAATCAATTTCTGCAAACATTATGTACTTCTATCATAATTAATAAATAAAACAATCTAAAGATACAGGTATATGGGGATAAATATTAGCTAACTTCTTGGTGTCATCTTGGTGATGGTGGTAATGGTGGATAGATGTGGAAGGACAGTCTAATTTTAAACTTTTTCTTAAAGCCAGTGAAAGTCTAGAATTTTTTATAGTAAATTATTCAAGTATTTAATAACCTTTGCTTAAACCAAACTGTGTTCTTACAAGGACTGGAGTAAGTATCATAAGTCTCTGCTCAAATACCTTTACTAAATAAGAAATTTTTGGACCTGGTTATAAATTTAGAATTCTAGAATCATAAAAGCATAGAAAATATTTCTTGAAATTATTTTTATTCTCAAGGAACAGTATAGAATAAGTATTCAAAACAATTTAAAAATACTGTTTTAGGCCAGTGGTTAAACATTTTCCAAACATTCACCTATTCTCATATTTAAATACACTTAAGAAGAAGCAGAAATCATTCATGGAAGAGAGAATTAGAATGTGCATTCTCAGAGATTATGATAGACCCCCCTCATTTCCCATACACTCAAACATATAAATACCCCCCCCCCCCACTGCTTTGAAATTTTATATCCACCAGGAAACTCCAAACATGAATTTTTTTGAAATACAGTATTTACAGACATAATTGGGTGAAATGAGGTCATACTAATTAGGGTGGGTCCTAAATCTAATCGCGGATGTCCTCTTTCTCTGTACCG